ATACACGTGCGCTAACGTGTAAGCCGAAGTAGTGGGCACGCAGTGAGCCAATTACACTTTCTCCCCTCTGCGTCTGTCCACCGGAACCTCATGGCACTCAACGGTATCTGTGCGTGCTCGACAGTGTCTGCAAAATGCTCCAGGATGAGGAGACTTCGATGGCCCACAACCGACAGCTGTTCAACTCTCCTGGATCGGTACTCAGATTTGGATACCCATCTGAATCCATCTTCAAAAATTGTGCAATCACCAAATTTCGAGAATGCAGCCATTAAGGTGGCAAATGGTGCTCCATTAAGGGCCGCCGAGGCTAAACCCGTTGCGAAATTTGTAACGTGACCATCTGTCATTGACGAGAAACGCAAGAGGGACCGCGCTCCAGACTTCGCCATGACAATTCTACTGGAAGGCTCGGCAGCGCGAAGAACGGGACAGTCATCGGTGGTCTACAAACTCGCTGCTGACGAAGGTTCCGCCACGAGCAACGCGTGCGAGCGTCTATTCGCGCAGACGGGGCTCATTCTGACCCCGCAGAGAGGAAGGCTTGCTAATGCTAATTTCGAGGCGCTAACCTTTCTTCGTGCTAACCTTGGTATGTGAAACGCAAGCACCCTCGTCGACACTACCCCAACCGACTGATGGCTGTTCATGAGGACGTAACTTCTCAGAAGGTAGCTCATGTGGCAATATACTCATTGTATTGCTAAGTTATTATTATTGTTTCTTGTTGCATTGCAGTGACTATTACGCCAGTGATCGATCTTCCGTATAATAAAACACGTTATCTTCTGATCACTGCTGGCTACAACATTGCGTCCCGGGGCAGTATTTGCTACCGTTTGAGGCACCACATGTACCATCATTCTGAGCGACGTTGGTACATGACGTTGGCGTGGCATCTGGATCTTGTGTTGCTGGTGCCAGGGTAGTCGGCGCTTAAGTACTCGGGGCTTGGCTAGTGGTCGTTCCAGATGCAACCGGGAAACAGTTTTCTGTGTGTGTCAATGATTAGAACGACATTGCGCGGGTAACATTAAAACTTACTGAAGACTTTGTAGGTTGGGTTGTGAGTGTGAATCCAGATGAACTGAACAACGCAAGCAGCATACACTTCGTCATATTTATAGGAATCTTCAAGGTCTTCCGGTATAGTTTGCTGCAATTGATGCATTAAGTGTCCAAATTTGGACATGTCCATAAAAGCTGAGTATATTTTATCCAACATGTACACAGCCTGTCCAAAACTCAATAATCACAGTATTTTACAAATCACATAATTTATCTTACGACCTACTCTGTCGGTTAAAACCACGACTTGCCTGATAATACAAAAATCAAAACCAGCCGCGCTTCGCTTGGCCCCCGTACATGTACTGGCGAGTGCAGTGCGCGGCTCGCTGGTGGGCTCGACGCTGAGCTCGGCGCTGGGTCCGCCTCCGCAAATAACTTATTGCGCGTCAGCTAAGACCCCGAGCCGTTTAATCTCAACCTGGCACTCCAGAAAAGTAAGGCTTAGCTCTTCTAAATGGAAGTGAATAGGATCACAAACAAAAATGCACAGCCGGGACGAGACAAAGACGACACAACGACCGTAATCTACTGCGGCTTCGTATTTTACATAAATTACGGTCTCGACAAAATTTTGAAATTTGGAAAAACGGAGGGGAGATTTGCGCACGTCCTGCGAGCCTTTCATTCCAGGAATCCGTTGCCTTACACCCCACACCCCTTCTCCCTTTGCGCGCTCCGGACGCAAGCGATCGTGCGTAGACAGCCAGATATCGCCTGCTACGGCAGTATTCACGACGATTATGAGCGACAGTGACGACAGATCTGTCTCGAACGGGCATGACAAAAGGAGACCGCTTGTACGAAAAGCTTGCAATTCGAGCGACTCTGGGCTTGGATCTGACTCTTTTGACAGCGAGGCAGGATCAGTGAGCGAGACAGCACCCTCGTTTCAACGCTGGCACGACACCTGGGATGATTTCTTCAAGAACTTACGGCAGTACGAGGCGCAGACGTCGCAGCTTTACCGTATTCGCACTTGTACAAGGGTTTCTACTCGAAATGACAAGATTAGGAAGAAGAAGAAGTTGAGGGAGGGCGGGCTCGTGCCTGAATGCTTTGGAGACTACTACAAGAAGCTGCTCTGTATGCATGGCTGGGGTACGAAACCTCGAGGGGACGGCACGAGAACTGGCCACATTGGTCGTAGTACTGGGTGTATCTGCTACAGTTTCTCGCTGTCCTACAACCAATAGCTGGAGAATCTGTGTTACTACGCACAACAGAACCCACAACCACCGACTTCGAAAGGAAGTTTACGCGAACTACCCTTCGACAAGGCGTGTTATGGATCCTGACGTCCTCGACTTCGTGGACGAGCTGATCAAGGCCAATCCAAACCAAAGAGGATTCTCAAATATCTCCAAGAGACGACAGGTATCGTAACTTTTAGAGTCTAGTTTGCTCTGTGTAAAACTGAACTGTGCTATTATTTTGTGCAGATAAGCGCGTGATACTGCGAGATGTCCACAACTTGGTGCAGCGGCTAAAAACCAAGCGACGTGGACAACCACCGTTGAAAAAAGACTGGAGGCGGTGCTGAGGAAATTTTGCTCGTATCGAGGTAACAATGCCACGGTGTTCGTTGACGAAACAAAGACAACTCAAACCATTACCATCCAGAGTCGGTAAATGAAGCGCTTCTTTGAAGCCTTTCCGGAGGTAGTAATGCTGGACTCGGAACAAACGCTTCGAAGTATAAGCTCTTCAGCTTCATGATCGACGGCACATTGGGCACGTAAGTACTACCGAAGATTAATGATCAGTTGGTTTCGGATCGGTGACCAGTTGGTAGCTGGGTGGCCGCCAGTTGGTAACTGGTTGGTCCGCTGGTTGGTGATCTATCGGTTGTTGTTGGTGACATACGAACGTAACAGACTAACATCGATGTGCATTTCTTAACAGGGACAATACATTCAGCTTTCGCTGGTAGAAAATGATAGTCACGCTTGCATGAAGGATGCCATTGAAGCCCTCAAGGGTAACAATCCAACCTGGGATCGTATTCGAGTGTTCATGATTGACAAGGACTTTGGCGAGCTGAGTCATTTACAGAAGGAGTTCCTCTTGGCTCGAGTCTTGATCTGCCACTTCCATCTACAAAAAAATACCTGCGCACTGAGATGGCAAAGGCGGTGTACGGTGGGCGTAACGCGGTAGACGTGGATCGAGTGGAGGATGCTGTGGATATGATGGCGACCACAAAGGGCAAGGACGAGTATGACCGAGGCCTTCGTTATATGTACTACATTCTGAATGGTTTCGATGAGCAGAGCGAACTACCAAAGCCGAAGCACCCTCTTCTTGACTATTTTATGCAAAATTGACATTCTTGTAAGGAGATATGGACTGTGTACGAACGAGGTCACGTCGCGCATCTTGGCAACCATACTAACAACCGGTATGCACGTCTTCATTCTTTTTATCGATAAAATCTAATCCTTTGGGTCTTGTAGTCTTGAATCTGCGTGGGGATTACTAAAGGAAATTCTGAAACCCGAAATGGAACTTGACGAGTGCGTTGAAACGCTGGTCTTCTTGCAGTCGACGGCGAAGCTGGAGTATGCGCCTCGGTTTAACGTAATTGGGTCCCGTCACTACCATGGAGCGGATGACATGTTACTTCGATTAGCAGGATTGGTAAGCCCACACGCGTTCGAGCTCGTCTACCAAGAGAATGAACTTCTCAAGAGCGGAGTCTTGTCCTATGAGGGTGGTTGGCTACAAGACGGTATCGTCAGACTGGAAATCCGAAGAACAGGACGCGAATACACAGTTAATGTTTCGGTAAGTTGAGATTAAAACGGTTTAATTACTGTCGGTTAGATGACTGACACCTTTTTGTTTATGCACAGACATGTTCATGCTCCTGATTCTTTATGCGCACTCTACTGCCTCCATGTCATCATACGATGCATGCTCGTGCTTCAATGCAAAAGATGAAAGTAATCCCTTTGAACTACACTCATTCACGATGGTTACTACAGGCAGAAACCAACCGTCCCGAGGAGGACGAGTCTGATGAAGATATTTCATGCTCGCCACTACGAGTCCAGACAGCACACATACGATCCGTCGAGCACGCTGTGTTAAATGGAACAACAAAGTGGAAAACGGCCATGGACATTGCCGGGGCGTCGTTGAGGCAATGAGCTCTCATGGCACACGAACATTCCTTCGGATGACAGAAGTGTTTCGTGAGTTTGGAGAGTGCGTACGTGAAGGAGTGGTGCCGACTCTGATGAAGCCTCAAACTACTTCTGTCGAGAGTCTACTTAGAGCACCAAGTGGAGATTTTTATGTGTAGCACGACGCCGAACTTGCAGACAGCGACAGCTCATCTGTACCGCCAACACACGAGGCCGCCAATACAGCGCAAAACAATACCACCGTGGATGATTTCAATGTGGAAAGTGACTGTGGAGATTCGATTAATGGTGAAAGTGAGCAGCTACCAGATGAATGCGATCGACTACTAGCTGAAACGAACCGAATAATTACCCGAGTGCGAGATATGGTATCTCCAGATAGCGACAACGACGATACGGAATTATTTGGGCTTGTTCAACCCGGAAACAAGAATACACCTACCTCACGCACTCTAAAATCTGCCAAGATCCAGAAAACCAACCAGTCAGTGGTCATCACCAAACAGTCGGGCACCGCAACCAACCAGTTGAAAACTCCAACCATCCAGTCGGTGTCTTGTACGATCTAGAAGCCAAGCAACACAATCGATTTAGTGGACAAGGCTGCAGCATCGGAGTTGTCACAGTCCGTGAACGACACCACATCTTTGGCGGAGAAATCCGTTCCATTGGTGGATACTACCAACGCCGAAGGCAATCACTCGGTTGATGACGATAACCAGTCGGTGCGCGCTGAAAGAGAGTTTGCAGACCAGCCTACCGAAGCCACGTGTCAACTAGTACTTCGAAAACGTCGGTCAAAGGAAAGGGGTGACAGCAGTCCTGGTGACAGCTCCAGTCATGAAGGTATCTCAGGGGAGTTTCGAGCTAGCACCAGTGTGAAAAGCAATGGAAGGTCAAAAATTAGGCGGAAACAAGCGCGTGAGGCGAAGAAACTCCGAATGGATGAGTCTATTGCAGAAGCAAAAGCTCTTGTTCAAGGAACGTTAGTTCCAGAAAAGGATCTGACACTTGTGCGTAAGACATTGGCATGCAGTTCCAATGTTGAGGATGCTTTGCCGGTCCTTCACAGTATTGCCAAAGTTGATGCATCAACTTGGAAGGCCACCTCTATCGTGCAGCTTGCACGAAAGCAGAAGGTCCACAAGAAGGTCACGATTGTTTTTCCGAACAACTACGTTACCAAGTGCATCGCAGGTATAAACATGTATCGGAAGTCCTTTCCAAGCGACGATGAAGCTGGCAGAATGAAGGTATCTATCAAGAAACTTGGCACATTCGCGGAGAAAGATTTTATCACAATGAGAGATTGGCATGACGAATCTCCGAAGTTCGATGTTTTTTGTGATCTAGCAGCGTGGATCAGAGTTTCTCGCTTTGCCCGAATTACACTTCCCAGCCCTCTCAACAACTGTGTCACGGTAGATTTACAAGCCTGCGCAAAAAGATTGGAGACCGTGAATTTAAAGACTACTATGGACACAAGATTCGGACAGGTCGGTATCGAAGAGATGGCATTCTTCAGGCGATTGGAGTGGCTAGACGATTCGTGCATGAAACTTGTCATGAGCCACCTCATGGACCAAGATCAAGATGAGCATAAGAGGAGCTGTATTGGTGCGGTCAACCCACTCTACGCAAGAGTTCACGATGAAGCAATGAAGTTGCAAGTGATTGCAAGCTCCCCTCTTCGGTCGAGCAACCGAATGATTCTGGTGCCGGTTTATCTCGATGGACACTAGGCAGGTGTTGTATTTGACAACGACAAAAGTAGAGCCGTGGTGTTCGACCCTATGCAGACGAAAAAATACTACAACCAGGCCTGTACAGTCATCAAAAAGTACTTTGGAAACTACTCTTCGAAGCTCAAATTAGTCCGCCAGCAGGCTCCGCGACAAGAGGATACCAATAGCTGAATGGCAGTCCCAAACGTGGCCAGAGAGCAAATAGCGTATTTGCGATTTCGATATATTTTCTTGACTAGCAAGGGGGTATTTTGCAGAAGCCCAGACGCAGCCACGAGCGAAGAGTAACTACATCAATACATATCATTGCGTGCTCATGCCTTATTCACGTTGTGTTAGCTACTCAACCTCGGGCGTCTATCGTACATCAACTTTGGCGACAAGATTGATGACTAGGTCCATTTCATTAAGTCTTTATCACATACGCGCAACATTCCAGCGACATGCCTACATTCTCTACAAGCGATCTCAGTTTTAGAGATTTTAAATCGTACCTACGCGAGATTAGTCGTATTTATGCGGATAAATTACGTACTTAAGAGGATATATTACGGGTCACCAACCAAAACCAAACTGGTTGGGGGTTTGCTGCTAAGTCGGTTGGTGAAAACGTCCCGGCTATGCAAAACAGTCGGTGATCCTAACACGAGCCCTTCTAAATTGGTCATTTATTTTTGGGACAGGATATCAATCGGTAGTTTATTTTAAATTACAAACCGGTTTAATTCGCATCAAACCGGTTGCTGAACTCCAGTCATGTGTTTTATTTGTCACGTTGCTACTTAAAAGCTGGATTAGAATTACCATGATTAAACTTTAATAAGTAATGCGCGACTTTTTATGTTAGGACAAGGGAGATCAAACGCCTCACTTGCGGAAGGCAATTCTTGTACGATAACTGCTGATTTAGGTCGCATGAGCTCGGAAGTTGCCATCCTTGTCTTCTGCTGGATTTTAGTATACTTTAGTAGTCGAAACTGGTTTTTTTTTTTAAATAATGCATGATATTTGTCATTCATCATCCTTTCACCGCTCCAGCAACAATGTGAGTTTCTCCATGATGGAAACAGCGGTCTTGGGGTTCATCTTCCTCATCAGGTTGGTCGCGTGGGGTTTCTCCGGCATCTGATCCACTCGTCTAAATGAAGCTGTTGCGTTGTACAGTGCCAGCTTCCTAGACAAAAGTTCCTTCAGACAGCTCAGTCGTTTCTCCGCTTCATTCCAGCTCTCCTTGACGCCCTCGTTTCTGTCTGCCAAGGGCTTCAATAGCTCCAAATAGTACGTGATAACATCGGCAGACAGCACGAAGACGTGGTGCATGTCACGATGGATGTGCAGTAGGTCCACCAACGTGTCCAAGGCGCGCAGATCCACGTCTAGTCGGTCCTTGTCCTCAATCGCAACCACTCGCTTCGCTCTGCTCTTGTCTGCTGACCGTCGATACACCGTCAAATTTTTCAATACGAGCAGTAGTTGATGCAGTAGCTCCACATGCGGACGGCTTCGGTTCAGACCACGGATCGCTGCGAAGATGGTAGACGAGATCTGGAGTTGCACGCACTTGCGGCAGCATTCACGTGAGTATCGCGTGCACACCTCGATAGTGTGGCTGGCGAACAACATGTCCTGTAGTCGCTTGCCATGTAAGAGCATGTGTAGAGCCATGTCCAGCCGTGCACCTAACGTCTGCGGCTGCTCTGTCTGAACTCTCCTCTCTTCATGCGTCTTGACTCTCAACTGCTGCAGACTCGTGGCTGATGTAACACTGCCAACCAGTTTCATGGTCGATAACTTCTTCCTCTGCTGAGTAATCTCCGGACTGCTGTGATGTAAGCGAACCAACGTCCCGCGCCACCATGATTGCAGTCTGCGCACTGCCACAAAGTGGAAGTTACGTTCACGGAAAGGTATAATTACCTTCTCACGCAGCCATGCGCCAACAATACGTGCTGCACGTGCTCTAGCCATCGCCAATGCCATCTTTTCTATCTCTCGTTGTCGCTTCTCTTCAGCCCGTCGCTGTCGTTCCGCCCATTTACAACACAAACCCAGCCACCACACCTGCATACGTTGAGCTGCAGCATTCATCTGTCGTTTGTGTTGAACACGCGCGTTGATAACACTCTTCAAGCAGAATGTGCGCCAACAAGTAGCGATTCTGTTGGTATCAGCGATGCGTTTCTGCATGAGTCCAGCGCTAAGTCGTGTCCAGTGAGCGCGTACCATTAGTGTGCGCTTCTTGCGGTACTCCGTCGTGCGATTAGCATACCAGAACTCGATCTGCCAGCACGATGTCAACACACGCAGACGCTGAAGTTGCCTCTGGAGAGCGTGGAAGTTGAATCGATGACGACGAGAACTCCAGCCACGCGCGAGTCTCTGGATAGACACAGCTGCATGGTGAAGACGCAACGCTCTTCGAAATTTGGTCATTGTTAGCCACGAACGAACTGCACGCTGTACCACCACCACACTAGCGTAGGTCTTGGCGTACTGCTGTCGCGTAACAAATCCACGGTATGCTGCTTGAATGAGCGTAGCTGCCACCATCCGCTTGTGATAAGCGTAGAAGCGGTAGACCGACTGGATTCGGTGAGCAGCGCGGTGTTGTACGCTCTCTTGTAGACGACGAAGACGATCCAGGCGAACACGCTCTTGATGATCCTTTTCCTCTCGCTGCATGCGTCGATAGAGCTTAAGCATCTTTTGGAACGATCGCAACGCACGGAGTTGAGCCTGACGGCGCCATATTCTCACGTTCCTCTGCAGTACACATGCACTCTGACGTAGAGTAGAGTACCATTTCCTCAACTCCCATGCTCGTATTAAACTCTGGATCCTCACAGCAGCACACGTCCGCTTTCGGGATCGATAGCGCCGGAATAGAGTCTGGATACGACACGCAGCTCGCGTCTCCACCTTGTGCTTGAGCTCTTGCAATCTCATCACACGCCGTTGCGCTTCAGTAGCCTGCATGCGATGATAAGTCCTCAACATATTGTAGAACTGCGTCAACGCCGCCAATTGTCGCCTCCTACGCCACAGTCGCACATTTCGCTGCAACACCGCAGCAGCACACTTCTCTTTCAGAAATCTCAGCTTCTGCTTCTTGCCTCGGAATACACTGGCCACCTTGGTCGCTGCCACTTGTCGCTTACGTACCGTGAAGTCACGAAAGCATTTCTGGACACTCTTAGCCGCACGTGTTTCCACTTTATTCTTCAACGCGAGTTGTCTTTGTTGCAGCTCCTTCTCCTTCATCATCTGCTCAAAACGCTGCAAAGCAAGAACCCTCTGGGTCTCTTCACGACGACGTTGGAATGCACTCCAAGCACGCTGAATAATCTCTGCTGAACGATGATTTCGTCGCCATATCCCCTTACGTTCATCTCGTGCTGCAGAAATTAAACGCCCTTGCCGCCAAGTAACTTGAATTCGAGTCGCCGCCACGTGCCGATCAGCGATCATTTGCTGTCGGAGGAGACGAGCTGCTAGTCTAGACAAATACTGCAGCCAGCTCCTCTCGATGACAGCGCAACTTGCCCTCACACGCATTCGCTGTGCAGCCTTACGTTGCATTGCTCTCTGCTTCTGCCGCTCCTTCTCACGTCTCCAACGTAGCTGCTTCCTCCAGTGATACTGAATAACAAGCACGGCGCCAAGCGAGTCTCCATTGATACGCAATTGTCGACGAGCTCGGAAGGTCCGCTGAATCGCAACCACAGCTTTTCGAAGCCGCATGAAATGCCTTCTAGCTGTCCATGTTCGCACTATGCTTTTAACGAGATGAGCCGCTCGTAAGAGTTTGCGGCATTGGCGGATAGCCAAGCGCTTGTGACTGGACGTATACCAGAACCGCTGGACAACGCGAGCACTGCGGTTCTTCTTGCGATGCAATTTCAGTCGAATAAGCGGACTCTTCCACCAGCGTTTCAACCTCGACGCAGCGTGGATCTCGCTGTATGAATCCATGAGACGGGATTGCAAATAACACACGAATGTGACCACCATCTTGTCCTCTGGAGGGTTCTTAGTGTTGTACTGCTGAGGCATGAGCACTGGCACCTCTCCAAGCTGCTTGATGCGGTCGTTAATGATAGCAAAATGGCGCTGCTCGTTGTTCAGAAGCGTTTTCTCACTCAGTTGTTGAGCATTTCCATCATTTACGCCGCTAGTCGTCGGCAGCATGTCGGATTTCGACAGTAACATGGGATGATAGTAGTGGAGCAGGTAGCAAAGTGCTTTTCCATCGGCAAATGACGCCGAGAAGTCATTTACTGCGACGTTGTAGTTGGCACAGACAGCACGACACCACTCTAGCAAGAGCGAGTAGCATTCGTGTTCGTCTGTGTGAATGAGAGGCTCGCTCTGCTGTTGGTTATCGAAGAAATCCTTGGCTCGGAAGCTCATCCGCTTGACCACATTCTCGATCTCCCGTCTCATGGTCTGGGCATCCACAAGCGACTGCAACTGGAAACAACTGATGAGTTTCCACAGCAACGCCAACGTTTTCTCTCGATGGCCATTCACGATATCCTTGGCTAGATTCTCCACCATCTTCTCGTCCACTTTGCTCCGTAAACCAGCAAACCCAGAAGAAGACACACGGACACGCCCATTTCTCTTGGTATCTCCTCTGCTGTTGCTCTTGAGGTTATCCAGCACGCTCGCGCCACATTTATCTTGCAGGAAATGCAGACAGATCTCGACGTTGTGCACTTTCTGCAATCGTGACTGAGCGGGTACACGCAGGAACGTTGACAAAGCTTTAGGTTGGGGAATAATCTCTCCGTTCTGGTCTGTTGACGCTGGTACTGGCAGCGTTGTAAGCGCTTCCATGAGCTTGGCAAGACGGACTCCATCGCGCAAGTCTGTCTCCAAGTTTTTGACCTCCAGATCGATCTCATCCAACGCTGTCTGCTCGTGCCTGAGAGTGTATCCTAGTTGCTTCAAGTGCTTATCGATACGACCTTCACTTGCCAAAAAGAGTCGGCAGAACTCCGTCACGAACACCTGCGAGTTCTTCGCCCACAGTGCATCATCACTACGTTGACTACTCTTGTTTACACTTTGGGTTTTACTGGACACGGTCTTCTCGGTGGAAAGAGCAATTCGGAATAGACACGGAAAATGTGCGAACTTGTCCGCTTTCCGCTCGATCGCGCGGTCCAGAAAAATCACCAGCATGAAGAATTTGAGCATGAAGGACTGCGTTAACGAATCAAAATACTCTCGACCATTGATGTTTTTCTTGGTATTCATGAAGGCATTGCCACCATCGTTGCGGTCTGCAGTGGAGCCATCCATTGGTGTCCTGAGATTCTTCACCAAGCGATAATTCTGGGCCACATGTGCGTCTTTAACCAAGTGCTTCAAGATGATCCGACGTAGAACTTGAGGCATCTTTCGGTCAGTTGATCCGTCTTTCTTCCCTGTACTGAGTTGTGCTCTGGCAGTCGCTCTGAAAATGGCTCGTAGCGAACACTTCTCCTGTCGCATGACTTGACTTCCGAGCACAGCGTAGAGGCCTAAGCAGAGCCAGACCGGATGGTAGTTATTCAACAGGCTGATTAGATCCTCTTGCAAGCCGACGTCAGCATATACCGGACGGTCTGCGCGAAATAAAAGCCCCTTGTTGCCGATTTCATCCTGCAAATTGAATAGAATGTCGTCCATATCTGGGGAATGGTACAACTCCACTGCTGCGTGCGCCCACTTGGACTCCATGCGCTTCTGAGCAAGCACACGCAGCGACGAGAAATCAAATCTGCGCTTCGTTCCAACAGTCGGGTCCTCACCGTCATCAACGCCGCCCAGACGCTGAGCAGTTCCGTCCAATAACACGTAATTTATCCATTTCGTAAACCCCTGGGTCTGCTTTGCCATCCAGTTGTCATCATACACCTCTTGACGTTGTTTCCACCACGAACCGACAAACGGCTTCTTTAAGGGAGCCTCCTTCAGCGCACCGATACTTTTCTTAAACGTTAAAGCCCTAGGAGGTTCACTTTTCCGTCTCTTTGGTCCATTTCGAGGTGGAGAAAACTCGATCGCCACTGATGAACGGCGTTTGTCTCCCACTTTGGGTCTAGATCTCACCACAGGCTCCTGTTCCGGTTCACGGTCAATTGCCTGCATTGTGAGCGCTGTACTTCTCGACATCTGTCTGGTCCTCGCTTCCGGTGATCGATGCTGCTTCGCTCTAGGTGCCACTGCGACAGTATCAACTGCTGCTTTTGGCCTGCCAAACTTGGACAGTCTGGGCGCACGCGGCGTCACAAAGCCTGTCGCTCGACACTGCAGCTTAAACCTGTCATTCACAGTGAACTTGAGCACTGCTGTCACTTCCTTGCCAACGTCAACCGACAGCGGCTCAAACGTGACTCTCAGCGTCACCGACTTGAGCGCGTCCACAACACAGACGTGCAGATCACACTTGAATCTTGTTTTCCTCTGTGCAGACGCCTCTCCATTGTGGTTCATGGCGTATCCTTCGTATTTTACTCTGGCATTGCCCAGTTCGTTGGCATTTTCAAGTGTTAATTGCCTACTTCTGCGTTCCCCCAATGGCACAGAGCCAAAACGCAGCTGCCCAATGTGGTTGAAGTCGTCTACTAGCATCGTAGCGGAGCCTGTTCCGATAGTCTCCTCTTCCAAGCCTAATGACTCTGCATGGAGCGCCAGTGCTCGCGCTTCGAAGTGCGTCACGGCATTTGTCATCACCAATGGGTTTCGTTCCGCCCTCTCTTCATCAGAATCATCCTCATAGGTCTCTGTAGACGCATTGAGCGACTTGTGTGTGGCTGAACGCTTTCCAAGCAGCGACGAGGCCGCGGAGCGCTCGGATTCGGGCGTAGCAGGCAATAACTCGGCCTCCAGTAGTGATTTTCGGCTACCGCGCTGCATTGTGACGTTCGGATGGCCCCAATTGTGACCAATGAGAGGGACGCGGTTCTCCTTTCCGTCGCTGTCTTGATCCGAAGATAATGCGGCCGTTTCGTGACAGTTTTGAGCGCCTGAGGCGTCAGATTGTGCAGAATTGAACGGATCTAACGATGCACGAGATGCCCACTTGCTGCGAGCCCGATTGCCGTCACTGACGCCGCGCATATCGACTGTCTTTCTCGCCGTACAGTCGGTATCGCTCGCACCTGAAGCGCGCGCGTCGAGCGTTTGAACTGAGCATGGTGTTCGTAACATAGTTGGTGTGGCGTACGTAGCTAATACCGAATGTTGCAGCAGTAAAAAGTGTAATTACGTCGTACAACCACATAGTGTGTACCACGTGAAATTGGGGTTGTAGCGTGAATTACGATTCGTACTTACGCGGAGGCAAGGTCGACAGCAGCTCGCCGCCAACCAATAGGCCGAGCCCTCGGACCCGCCAGCCTCGCGGCATTTATTTGCCGAAAGCTAAAGCAAAAGCGGAAGAATGTCGACGATCACCAAGGAGCAGCACGACGAACTGTGCGTGGCGTACGCCTCCATGATCCTCTTCGATGCGGAGCACGAGATCACGTCCGACTCGATCCAGCAGGTCGTGAACGCTTCGGGCAACGAGGTGGAGCCCTACTGGCCCACGCTCTTCGCCTCGCTTCTGTCGAAGGAGGGCAAGGTTCTGGAGCTCATCTCCACGGGCGGAGCCGCCGCTGGCGGTGCCGCTGCCGCCCCGGGCGCTGCTGCTGGCGCCGCTGGCGCTGAGGAGGAGAAGGTTGAGGAGAAGGCCAAGGAAGAGGAAGAGGAGGCTGTAAGTCGCGTGGCGAATTGCTGTTAAGGGAGTAATGCGCAGGTTACTGACGTTTTTAAATAAATGATATTTATGATAACAGGACCTGGGCGGCGGCATGGACATGTTCGGCGGCGACGAGGACTACTAAGCTAAGCTGTGCTTTAGGAAGCGCTGCGACTAGACTCTGCCAGCCGTTTGTGACCGTCTGATTCCGCTTTAATTCCGTAATGGACTCGCGCGTATATTCTTCCGGTGAAATCAAAGGCTTCAAGCAAGCGTCTTCGTTCTATCTGCTACTGCGTCGTGTGTTTTCGGCTGCGGGTCTTCGTAGGCCTCATTCTCATCGTCTGCAGAAGGATTCGAATACAGGTGGCAGGCTTTTAAACAGGTCGACAGGTTGAAGTGGAGAGGCAGGCGCACAGGTCGGAACAGTAGCAAGTGAGAAAGCAACCATGCACTGTGCAAACTCTGGCTGCAGTGTCTGCCATGATGCATCTCGGCATCCCGGACACAGTCGTTACGAGTATCGCGTTGGCTTGCCCTATATTCTTCGAAATCCTGGTACTTGTAGTAGTACTTCGTAGCATTTCGTAGCATATCTCTTCCCCTGCAAGGTTTCCCGCGTTTTGGTTAGACTGCTATCTGTTGAGCACTGACAGCTTATCGTTGCTGAAACTCTGCACCTTGTTTCTGCATTTCGAAACTTGAACATGTATGCTGTCATGGATTCGATACAGTGTACAGTAGTGTAGTGAGTCGTAATGAATACATGTGTCTATCTTTTTTCAAGTCGAAACCTTTGAACAAGTCAGCGTTGCGTTTAGCTCACATGATGATCCTCTCGTCGGGTGCAACGAGGACTCATTAACACAGACTCGTTTGAGCTTTATTATGGGCACAATTAACATTTCAACAACAAGAAATTGGTAATAAACGTGCTGCTTCGTGGTCTAGCACAGCAACACAGCAACACAGCAACACAACAAGTTGCATCTATATGTTCTGTAGCTAATTGGTGATCATCCAGGTTTGGTTCAAATCTACCCAGCTAAGTGCGAATATCAACTCCCACGTTTATTCCTTTCAAAACAATTCAATCGACTCCACGAGGGGATTCGTTGCTGCGTCTGTGGCTCCCCCTTTCTTGCGAGCGTTCTGAGCCTCTCTTCACAACAGCCATCCCCGTCGCCTCAGGAAGACTACCGCAAGATCCACAATGACTGCTGCCGTTGCCAAGAAAGCCGTGAGATGGCACAAGCTCCCCTACACCAAGTTCCTCGCGCACGAGTCCAAGCGTGAGCACTTCCAGCCTTTCCTCATCGCCGGAGTGTACGTTCCTAGAGTCCCAGCAGTTTACCAAGTCAACTCTCTTCTAACTCTTGAATTCCTCTATTGTGCATTTTAAAGTGCCGCTTGGGTGATCTGCGGCATCCTCCCCACGCGTGGCGCCACCCAGGAGGATAAGGAGAAGAGCAACTACTGGAAGCGCGTCAACGGCAAGTTCGACTACAGCCACCACTAGGCGCCTACTGAATGAGCGGGGTCTGCACGTAGGTTAACGGCTCGGAGATGCCGTAGACAGGTGCAGCAGGCAAGAGAAGATGATGGTCGAGTATTTGTATCGACGAGGATACTCATTGGGCTGCGTATCTGGCTTACGACGCTTCGTCTGTGGTCACAGCGTTGTCTACGCGACAATTGATTCAAACCCCACAAGAAATACACCTAATGCGTGCATTTTCTTGCTACTTGGAGTGTTTATTTGCGTCGTTGCTCTTGTGGATATCTTATAGGATATCTCGCTGCATTGAGCGCGTCTAGCAAGGTTGTCGAGTGCTTGAAGTGACCAAAGAGACAACTATCCAGAGGACGGAGATAGGTAACATCTCAAACACTTGAATCTATCCTATATTACCACGGGTCCCGTGGTTATCCAGCTATGCCACGAGATCATTAGAGAAAGTGTTTGATTACCTCGATATGTCCACAATTGCGTCGACAAGTTGATGTTGATAACCACGGATAAGCTTTCGACGTCAGCACCAGATGTGAAAAAAAAATGCTCGCCCTTCCGGGTCCTCCTGTTTAGGTACGAGAGCTTTCTGCTTGCACATAGTGGACGTACGTAGTAGTACTTCGTATTTTTTGCGTAGCGTCCGCAACATGAATCCGTTCCTGCAGACCAGAGTTTCTGTAGTCGGATACACTATCTCAGCAGGAGAAAACAAACAACAAAGCTGGTCTGAATTAGGCTTTAGCTGTCCTACTTTTGCTCTGCTTACAACTTGGAGTCCGCCGTGACGCGCGACTTCTTCTCCATCTTCTTGGACCAACTCTCGAGCGTTTCACGGGGCATCACAGGCTTCTTGTAGAGGTAATGTCCTCCATCCACAATCAACACGTCACCCGATACAAAGCTGCCCACGGGCGACACCAAGTACAACACTGCCGCCGCAATGTCCGTCTTGGCTCCAACACGACCAACTGGAATCGTACTCGCCATGTACTTCTTCCTCTCTTCAGGGTCCACATCTCCTCCAAGCTTGGCGGTGCCCGTCGTGTCGGCAATAGGCCCAGGAGCCACGCCAGTCACTCGAATCCCGAACTGTCCCCACTCCAGCGCAAGCGAGCGAGTGATGCTGTCCACCGCCGCCTTGGCAGCCGACGCGTGCACCTGGTACCACGTAGCTGGAAGTTGTAGCGTGGCCGTGATGTTTATGATGCGTCCGTCCCCGCTCTTCTTCAGCGGTTTGAAGGCCGCGCGACTCATGTTGAAAGTACCGATGGCGTCGATCTCCATGACCGTGCGGAAGGCGTTGGTCGATAGTTTCTCGGCTAGCGCCAAGAAGTTGCCTGCTGCCGAGTTCACCAGAACGTCAAGCTTGCCGAAACGAGCCACCACTTGCGCCACCGCGTTTTCTGCACTCTCAGCAGAGCGGACATCGCCCTGCACAAACATGCATGAACTCTCGGGCACGCCGTGCTCGCGCATGAGGCTCATGGTGCTCTGCAGTGCAACCTCTCGACGACCAAAAACAGCGACCTTGGCTCCGTACTCAGCGAGCTTAATAGCAATCTCCTGGCCGATGCCGGAGCCACCGCCAGTTACGAGAGCGACGCGGCCAGCACAGGCGTCGCGGCGAAACACACGCTGGAGGCTGGTAGAGTCCATGGTACAAGAAAGAGAAGCTACGGAGAGGTGAAGGAGGATTGCCAAATGGCCACTACGGCTTCAACGTGCATTATGTTGATTCGACAGATACCGGTATTTACTGGAAAGTCTTCAGTTGACGAAACGATTTACCATCAAAACCTTGTAAACATTATGGAATCCCAAAACTAATTCAAACTAAAGATGGTTTCAGAAAAAAATTCACTGTTGTAACAAATAAAGACACCAACGTTTGACAGGACATACCTTTTCTGGGGCTGCAGTTCCGGTATCCGTACCGGTCTTCTCTATCTGAGTGTTTGTTGGCTCCTCTTTTTGCCAGCGACGACCGGAGCGCCAAGATGAGCGTGGAGGCGCAGAAGACCTACTATCTGGTGGACAAGAAGCCCTTCTTCAAGCACTTCTACCCCAAGGATGTGGCAATCTTGGCTGTGCGCTCGACAGCTATGCAAGGTCTGATGGTCTTCAACGCGTACGTGGCGTCGCTGGACCTGGAGCTGTCAGACGAGGAGTTGAGCGAGGACGAATTTGAGGATGTGGATGCTGCGGCGGAGGACAAGGAGGAGTTCGTGCCTCCCTCCATGGAGGAGTTCAGTCTCGCCAGCGCCAAGTCCTTCGGCAAGTCGCTGAGTATCACCACGTACGTACGCTCGCTCGAGGAGGTGGCGATTCGTATCTGCCGACCTCGAATTGTCAGTAAGCTCATCAAAGGTGCGTCGATAATTCAAGGTCTCAATGGCCCATTATGTTTCCCCTGTTTATTGACTAATGTGTTGCTTTCTGCGATGCAGACATCAGCAAGTCAGCTATGCGTAAGTACGCGCGTACGTCTAGCAGGATGACGGCTGCGGCGTTGATGGTCAAGACGGGTATGCGCGCTAACATTCTGAGCCACCTCGCGATCTTCCTAGTTGAGGAGGTACGTTGCGAGCCCATACATTGATAATTTCTATGTTCTGTAGGTCGTGTTTATTTAAGCACCCTAGACTCATGCGCGATGATGTGTTGACTCGTGCAGACTCAGCAGCTTGTGATCATTCTGTACCGACGCTTCGTGGCACGAAAAGGTGGCAAGAAGACCAAGAAGAATCTGCGGTCGATTGAGGAGGGCATTCAGAGCAGCAGCAGCGACGAGGAAGAAGATACACTCTCAACGTTCGTGTCCAACACGGGTCGTAACGCCACTCGCTCTGCGCTGGCTGTCATCACGGGCGGCGTTGGCGCTGCCGTGGGTACGGTTGTGCGACCAGGTATCGGCACGATGATCGGTGGTACACTAGGCGATACCATCGGATACGTGTTGTTTTAGATGCAATCCAAAGGCAGGAAAGACTACCGGGGCGATGGAGGCCTACCAAATAACTGCAACATCAATGCTATACCAGACTCACATGTCCATCGGATCGATCGTCCCCAGATGGTTCAATATCGTTTGTGTGGATACCGGCGTCAGCACACAAAGCAACTTTGCGGCAGAGTTCCATATACCTCGACGATGTAGCGAAACATCCTCTTGTCCGTTAGACGTCAAGTTAACGGTTCCTTTTTATCAGAGGTTCAAATGCTCTTTGATAGGCTCGTTTTACTTGCAAAGTCACTATCTATATGTCACTAAAAACGAGTATATTCTCTGTCCCAGGATATTCTGTATTCCGCACGTGCTCTCCCACTTTCAAGGAGAACTGAAGAGCAGGCCGGTATTATCAAGGTCGAGCGTCTGTCCGCCTTCCTCGCGCTCCTCGCGGTATCTCCGCTGTAAACGAGAACCCCCCACATTATACACCTACTACACGTCTCTCATCTGCGTCCTTCCCGCTTGAACCGACCCACTACAGAGCACAACCGAAGCCCATGACTACTTCGCCCAGTATGTATATGGAGACAGTCTCGCTGAACGATGATGCTCCCGCTGCGGCGTCCACGTCCTCCAACTCGACAGTTTTGGACGTGGACACTCTGGAGTCTCAGTTCACGCAACCAACGGTGAACAAGACGTCAAAGGACCCCACCGCGTCCCCCGAGATCGCCGTGCCTGTGTCTGACAGCGACAGCGACGAAGAGCAGATTAATGGGTCCATCAATGGTCATAACAACAGCAAAAATGACACAGTTGTGGTGGACATGAATGTCCACAAAGACAGTAATGGCAACCAGCAGCAGCACGTGCTTCCCCCGCTGCGTGTCATGACACAGAAGCTCCCAATGGAGGAGAGAGACTACGTAGACCCCACTCTCTTCTCCCCAGAGGTATCTAGACACGCGATGGAGGTGGCACATCGTCGCGCCAAGGCTATTGCCAATGAGGTGAAGGAGATGATAGAGCTGGAGAACGAAATGGGAGGCGCCACCAAGGCCAAAATGTCCCCCGCTGAGGCTGTGGGTATCATTGGAGGCGCCTTTGCGAGTTCATTGCAAAGAGCTAAGAAACTGGTAAAGCCCGGAACGAAAGAGTATGATCTACTGTCTGGTACATCCCCGTCGGCAGGTATGTCTAAACTGGACGATCTCGACACGGACGGCGACGGACTGCAGCTCTCTCCTGATGCGACGCAGAGTGACGGGAAACACTTCCGCACGCCGAAATTGAGACCAGCATTAAAGCGCATCTCAGCGTTCTCGGCGGCTGCACTAGAGTCCGAGAAGAAGACGTCGAGTACACGACAACACAAGAAAAAGAGTATCCAATGGCACGAGGACGTTCTGGATGCTGACGAGGAATTCTACGAAGACGACAGTGAAGAACAGGAAACGCACTCTTTGATGGACACAGACGGAGACGGTAGCGGCAACGGCAGTCCTAGGCCACAGATACTGAACTACAGCAGTAAGAATGACGGCCAGCTCACTCCACGAAGCAAGAAAAAGCGCAAAAAACTCGTCAGATCAATGATGCGACGACTTACACCGCGCGAGAAGGAGGAACTGTACCGACAACGACCAGACTTGATGATTGTCCCGAACTGGGCGCAGAAGTACCGCGAAGAACTTGCAGGTGAAGACTCGACTCGCTGGAACGCCTGGCTGCTCGGACTTATCTCGGTGCTGGCTGTGCTGCTGCTGGTGTTTATTCTCCTCATTGTGCGGCAGCGTGCCGCCGCAGTGGCGAAGTGATTCTAATAGCTGGACCCATTAGAGAAGAGCGACCACGTGGGAAATGGCCTGCTCCTATTTTTTTGCTGCTTTATGCTTGGCTTGTTGAACCTTATAGCTCGACGCGTACGAAACAGAAGGTCTGCGCACCAAGACACAACTACGAACTTACTTTCCATAATATTTACTGGAACGTTGGAGCGTTTTACTTTATCAAATATTGTTCAATCAAACAGGTCAGAAACGATTTTGATCACGTTGCTTCGGTCATGTGGCTACCAAGTCTTGAGGGTCATTAAAGCACACCACGAAGTGTTAGACTCAGCGTGTTCATTGTATTTGACGCGTTTACATTGGACATGGATGATGGTAAAAGAGGAAGCGTAGAGGGCTGCATTTGACTAGAGGGGTGGAAGTGCTGGTAAAAGCTTCTAAGGTGCAATATATTTCGTATCACTGTTCGAATTCTTTCTCCCTTTCTCGCCGATATTTCCAAGTTGGAATTTCCAACCAAGGTATCTTTTGAAATATGGAGAATCTTGGTCTGGAACCTTCCATCATACTTATTCTAAGCTGAGCTAGCCATAAAACGTTGGCGCGGCTGCCGCGGCTCCGAACTGGCCGGACTCAAATTACCTACCGTTTACCAACCAGTACGAGCAGGAGCACGGCGGATAGCACGGTATGCACCTGCAATACTACGTACCAGTTGAGGAGGAAAGCGACGTGAAATGGCATATCCAAGGATATGCATGAGCGTTAACGCATCGAATTAGTTCAGCTTTACGTTAATAGTCGTTTTACTGCCTAGTGCGTAAATCAATATGGCGCTGTAGTGTAACAGTATGAAAGCGGGATCGTATCCGGATCAGTTAATCTATCGAAACGACAACAACAACAACAACAACAATACGGGCCAGGTACATACAAGCGCATCAGATAGACAGAACCCAGAAATTTATTTTCTTTCTAAGTCAATGCGATCATGAATGGTTTTCCCTCCGCAACTCGACACCTCGTAAACATCCATGCGAATGTGACAATGGATTTCACTTGATATTTGTGCTGAATGAAACTGTGTTTAAAACACAGCACACGGACATAAATTACAAAATAAATGCTTAACAGAAAAACAGCGCGCATGTTTTTTTTTTACTGTTGGGTAGATTTTCCTTAGCAAAAATAGCAGATTTTTCTTCCTGGAAACAGAGGATGATGTGAAAGCGAGACGACTTATAACCTTCGCATTTGCCAAGTAACCCTCTTGTCTTCATGGAAAAGTTTTTGCTCCAGAACACGTCAAACGAGCGGTGGCTAAGAGTACAAGACGTGCGGACAGAGATAAACCGTGCTCAAGCTCAAATCCGACTGGAACTCACACGGAAGTCAAGAGTTAGCATTGATGTGGATGCGGCAGAGGCCCGAACAAAACAACGCCAAATTTGCTTGCTTTGTGAAGAGATCACGACTTCCATAATCAACGCTGCACTCGTTCAGATTAAACCACGTACTGAAGAAGAAACCGACCATAAGCGCAAAGCAAACACGCGATATTCAACATTGAAGATACAGTACTCTTTGAAGAGCACATCACCCGACTTAAGGACAACGATCTGTATAGTACGCTGCTTCAGAACCAACACGCGGAAGATTTAAGCTGAGAGAAAACTTATTATATTAAAAAAATATCAGCTCGTTTACAGCAATGAGAAAGTATGTATTCGCTGAGATGTCTTCCCGATCGATGTTTGACCAATGACAATTTTGGTTTTTTACTACCAAATCTTAACACAAAAATAGCAGTTTCTCGAAAAATCGGGGTGTTTTAACGTTTTAACCCTTTAACTACCACACAAGTGTTACGGGTCCGCTTGGACCTCTACCTGGCCAAATCAGATCTCTTTCATTCAAATTTTAAAAGTCATAACAGCCAATCAGTGACATTGTCAACCCTCTTTATTTTAGTGCGGTCATTCTCAGAACGTCCGGTGGTGTTACAAAAGGTCTCATGGAGCCCACAACAGACACGCTCTGCTGCTGGTGTGGAGTCGCTCCTTGCGAGTGGGAACTCTACGAAGAGGATCTTTGGCTGACAGCTGGGAGAATAAAGAGGAAACTTCGGGGGAGAAAGCACCAGAATCGAGTCTTACGACAAACGTTAGGACGGATCTATATCTACAAGAAGACAGGCAGTCTATGTGGCGCTATTCCTAAGTGTGCTGCAAAGAAGCTCAAACAATACTGGCCAGACCCTCCGCGGAACGTAAGTCTGTCTTTTTATTTAGTTTTCAGGAAGTTTAAGCTGCTCAACTGGTGTGATGGTCCTGTTACGCTTTTTTCGTGTGAAGGTCTCTGGTTCCTCCGTCGACGCTCTACAGAGTACCTCCAACGTGGCTCTCAATTGAGGTGAGTGTTGAAGCACCGCTTGGTTGTGAAAAGCAGTAAAGCACTCGACATGAAAGCCAAGCTCACATTTTGTACATCCGTATCTCGACTTTTTTTTAATGTTTCGCAGGCTGCAGAGATGACAAAGCAGTTTTCCACTGCTGTGAGCAGTAGAATTTGGAGTGATCATGTGAATGGATGAATCAATTCCCACAATTTCATCCAGTGTTTCTCGAGCACGCTTTTTTTTCTGCGAAGCACGTCTGGTTTTATTTTGACGCTCGCCGCTGGTAAGGACCTCAGCAATTCGGCGTTTGAATTCGCGCAATGCTAACCCTTGTGTCGCTGTAGGTCGTACAGTCGTTAGCAGCGTGTGAGCGTTGATCACCGCAAGGTCCATCATCCACGTAAATATAGTCATGCCCAGACGTTTTTCACGTCTCCGAGTGGGGTTGGTACTGCGCAGTTGGTCCACGCGATCAACAGCGTTCATACAAAGATTATAGGCTGAAATTACTGTCGGAGCCATAAAAATTTCGCGGTGTAACATGCGATCCTCTGTCCACCTTTGGATAGGGTAAGTACCGTGGCAGCAATAAACAGCTTCAGGCGAAGTTGACGGTAGTGAACGCTCCGATGGTGTCGCCTTCAGATCATTTGTGTAGAAAATTACCACCTTTCTGTCCTTATAGATGATGTAGCCTGCGTTTTGCGCCTGAACAATTGTTGGTTCGAACGCTGTTTGCTTCGCTTTCGCAACGCCACGTTGACGCTTTTGGTGACCTTTTTGTTTGGCTTCCCAACCAGGCTCCGGATTCACAGCCGCTACCAGCTCCCAGCTTCCACGATTGCCAGCATCAACACGCCCAATAGCAGCACTCACAGCCGGCTTATTCCACTTATCTACGAGATTAATTCGTACGGTGCCAAGTAAGTGCATTTCTCCATCAGTAAATTTCAGCAACGCCTGAGCAAAAGTGTGCCTGGTGTAAAAATTATCAGATACTACCAGGCGGTGCCCCGTAGGAGATCTAAATGACTGTGTTTGATGACCAGCCATTGCGATCCACATTACCGTCGCAGAAGTTGCCTCGATAGAAACATCGTCAGAACGTAGCGTATTGTAAAGTGGTGTGCGTAATAAAGGAAACAATCGCGTATAGCGCTCAGCAGGAGTGGAAGGCGTCGCATTGCCCGACGAATTGTCCCACAATGAGTGGACATAAAGAGAATCCCAACCCACAACTGCATAGAATCGCACACCATACTTGTCGGGTTTAGACGGCATGAAAGTCTTTGCCCGTGTCCTTGCTTTAGTCCGCACAGTCATTTCATCTATACTGCTGACGCCAACCGGTACCGCATACTCTGCGAATAGCCGTTGAAAATGCTCCATTACATCCCGGCAACGCCAAAGAGGGTCTTTCTCTCTGTCGAACGACGGATCTTCAGGAGGATGAAGTGTCAAAGCACCACGGATCTGCTGAAATCTCGTCCTTGACATTGTTTCAATAAATGTACTCTGCCCCAAAAAGTGACTACCAGACCAGTAATCGGCAATATCATTCAGCGGACAGATGCTCATGGCCAGCTCCAGGCCTAAATACGCGTTAAATTCAGATTCTGTAATTGCAGTACGCCCTGCCTTCACTAGCACAGCAGATGTCCATCTCCGTAGTCTCTCCTTGAAAACACCAGTAAAAATCAACGAAAACACGCCATACTCGGCATTTTTGTCGAAAGCAGAACTCACTTGTCCCCGGATTGTCACGTGAAGCCCACTTTGCTCGCGTAGTGAAGCCATATACTCCTCGGCGATACTCCCCGGTGTAGGCAAAACGCTGCTTGGGTCTTGGTCTTGATCTCCACCACCTCGCCCGTCCTTTTCTTCTTCAGCATCAGAAGCTATATCTTCATTAGCCGTATCTACGTCGGCCATATCGATTGCATCAGGGCTGTCAAGCTCCCAATTTCCTACCAAGTCCTCAACAGCTCCAATCGGCTCCCCTGCTTGCTCCGTCATTGTCGTTGCGTGTTTCAATCTGTTGTGGATATGGTGAGAGGGGGGAGAAACCTTTAACTAGCTTATATCACGAGGATGGTATCTAACGTGGGGCCAGAAGATGCTTTGCTAAGGGTCCTTACAGACCTCTATCGACGTCACGGCTGCATCTGTTGATGAGCAACGAAGTGTTTTGTCCAATGAGAGTCGCTTATTTGATCTGTTAGAGGTCTGTAGGGGCCTCTAAGTAGCACGGTAGTTAAAGGGTTAACCTGAAGTTGCCTTTTCATGTATAATACGCAGTCTATAATAGAGGGCAGCAAGTCTATCGAGCGAGATGTCACGGCAAAAGAACACGTACTGCGTAAATTGCCGTGACCAAAGTGCTGAAGGTGACTATGGACAGCAGCGCTTTAAACTTAGTGTATGAACTTGCCTATTCTTTCTTTAATTGGGGCTTACGCAGTACATGTATTCCTTTTGTATCTTGCCCAGGGTAGCCCAAACATTTCAGTTCATGTTATCAACTCACAGGAGACAATCCATTCTTACAACTTGTTACACTTCCCTGTCCAGATCGTCGCTGTTGTCGCTGTCACTGCTGATGAGCGCTCGCTTGAGTTCATCTGCTACTGGACCCTTTTCGTCTGGGTAGATTGGCTTTCGTTTGTTCCAGGACTCCATCAATTCCTCCAAAAACCGGTACACGAAAAGCCCCATCATGATGAAGAGCAAGCCCGCGATATCCTTCGCGTGGAGCGGTTGATGCTCCGGCATGAACGGAAACGTGAACGCGACGTTGCCCAGTGGAACCATAATGGTCATGGCCTGTTAGTATACGTTAGTAGAGGCCTCAACTCAAATTTTAGCAATCATGGCAGCCACTTACCAGCCAGAGGATGTTGGCGCTACCGAACTTGAGGATCAGGATGATCAACAGGTTATAGGCCACGTTAAACAGAAGATAAGCTGTCACGTAGATGGTTGCCTTCTCGCAGTCATCTTTGTGCGCACCCTCAGTGATGGTATTCTGCCCCAAGTAGCACATCAGGCCGTCGTACAAATTTTCCGGGAGCTCGCGGGGAGTGACTGGGTGGTCTCCAACCATTGCGGCGGGAAACGTCAGCGGAATCGAAAACAGGAATTGGAACACAGCAATCCAACCGTTCAGATACACAGCATCCAACTCCGCCTCTCCAAGCGTCTTCTCTTTATAAACGCTGGACAAGCACATGGGGACGCAGCTGAAGATCATGACAATAGACCATAGCACGATGAGGTGCGGGTTCGTGCCCGTGCTGCTGCTTGAGTTGCCTGAACCCAGTACAATCAACAGACCCATGGTCACAACCACTGCGCCCACATACTGGTACCCCGAATACTTGGCTTTAAGAAGCACACTGGATATCAACATTGAGATCGGTATCGCAGCTTGGCCCAGTAAAATGATAAGCGATCCGCCTAGGTAGGTGGCAGCAAACACTTGCAGGATGCCGGCGATCGAGTCCAATCCTCCCATAACGGCAAACTTTCGCTTAGGGATGCTACGTTGGTCCCATGTAATGGCGCTGCCGTATTTGATCATGGGCAGGATGTATGCGAAACTGATGGGGATCTGCAAGCGTGTTGAATATCTCGTCAGTAAAAGTGTACAGCTTGCCACAGCTCAATAGGTGCAGCACGTACGTAGACGAATGTGGTGAGAAGGTTGAGGAACGTTGGATAGTTGTGCATCGGGATGGTCTGCAGTCTGCCAGCACAAAGATAATCAGTATAAAGGGATATTACATGTAGATATCATGGTGCAGTGGTAAAATCTCACTTCTGGAAGACTGATCATCAAACGTGGAGAGCATTGGGTCAACATTGCGTCAGTATGAAGAGTTCAAAGTAGTAACATCGAGATCACTCCGCTGTAGATTACAATACATCACGCACTCTTGTTGCCGAGGCCGACGAATACCATGGCTACGAAGCTCACGAGGAGCTTCACGTCGCGTTCCGCCTCCTCCCTCGTCGTCATTTTTTTCTTCTTCTCCAAAATGAATCTTCAAGTGTGAAGGGTATTTCCTATGGTACAGTGTACCGATACCATAATAACTGCGGCAGACTACAGAACGGAGACCATGCGCGTAGCCGTCGTGGGTATCGTGTTCCTGACATCGCTGGTGGTCACGGGCTGGACAGGTGTGGCCTGGTTCCTGACCCCGTTCTTCGTACTGGTTGTGCTTCCTCTTCCGGCGTTTCTGCAGACCAAACGCTTCTACCGCCGCGTCACTCGCTTCATGTGCGTTGGAATATTTGCCAGAACTCAGCGAAGCTGATACTGAATGAAATAATTTTGATGCATTTATTGGAGCAGACAATGGGCGTGGATGGGCCAAGTGGTGCTGATTCTTGGTGCGTGCAGGAGGAGTTGACGTTGCTACTGCTAGACGCTCACTGTGTCGTCTGCAGAGAATTTGTTTCGTATCCAGGTCCGAGTTTACGGTGATGTGGAGACGAAAGCTCGTGAGAGCGACATACCGCAGGATCGAGCTTTGTGGTTGTCGAACCACCGCACTCGTATCGACTGGATGCTGCTGTGGAGCGTTGCGTGGCGGACGCGGACATTGCACCAGTTACGGATCGTCTTGAAGGCTCCACTACGAAAAATCCCTATCTTCGGGTGGGCCATGCAACACTTCATCTTCATCTTTCTGGTACGGCTGTAAAATATGAGATGAGAATACTGATCTTCACTAAAAATATTACTCTTATGTTACGCAGCAACGTCGCTGGGCTGACGACCAAGTGAACCTGCACAAGTTGTTGCCATTCCTCACATCAACAGAACCGGAGGCTTCGTACCTCCTTTTCCCCGAAGGCACCGACCTCAGCGAGAATAACCTCGCAAAGAGTACTGTATTTGCTGAAAAGAACGGCCTCCCACCTCGTCGGTATTCGCTGTATCCACGCACGACAGGTTGGACATTTATGTTCCCGTTGCTGCGCTCGCAACTTACCGCTGTGTACGATATCACCATGTTCTACGTGGACTATGCCGCTAACGAGCGCCCGTCGGAGGCGTCTCTGCTTACCGGCCGTATGCCGCGAATGATCCATTTCTACATCGAGCGAGTGGACATCTCGGCCTTGCGAGACAAAAGTGAGAGTGAGTTGGCAACCTGGTTGGAAAAGCGCTTCGAACGCAAGGAGGCTTTGCTTAAGGCATTTTACGAAGAGAACGGCAAGCTTCCTCATGGAGCAACTTCTCTTTTCCAACAGAATCAGAGTTCTGCGATGGTGATTCTGGTGGCGTTTTGGCTGGTATCGATTGGTGCGGCCACAATCTTCGGATTGATTGGCAACTTCATCTCGGTCATTGCTGCGCTGGCGATTGTTACAGGTTACACCATCAACACCGCTTATGGGCCTGGCGTTGACGGGTTTCTCATAAACAACTTGTAGATAGATTTTCGAGCCATCGAGTTACTTTTACAGAGTTCCATTTACTAACTACAAAAAATAAAATAAAAAAATGAACAGCCAGAGCTTTCTACCGACGAACACAAGTTGGTGACGGTGGCAAACCCGAAGAAACATTCACGAGTGAAGACGGAGCCGAGCGACCACCCGCACCGAGTGTGATCCACGGATGACCAAGTGCTTGGCCTGCTGTAATCCGCTTACTTGGATCTGTTTCTAGTAGCCGAGTCAAAAGCTGTTTTACTTCTGGAGATGCCTTTGGTCTATTTGGGAACTCCAAGTCCTGGTGCGTACAAGCACTCGGTGGGTAGAAGGGTCCGTACCCGAAAACCATCTCGAAAAGCATAATGCCAGCGCTGAACATGTCAATGGCAGGTCCGTACGATTCCTTGCCTTCAAGTAATTCAGGCGCGATATAGCCCACTGTACCAAAGATTCCAGCAAATGGCAGCGAAGCATCGTGAGCGTCAAAGGCTCGTGACGCTCCAAAGTCACAGATTTTTACCGTGGCGCCATCGTCGTCCAACAGCACATTGTGAGGCTTGATATCATGGTGCACGATATTGTTATCGTGTAGATACTCGAGAGCAAGCAGCAGCTGTCGAAAGAAATCCCGACATTTGCTCTCTTCGATGCCTGCAGCTGTGATCATCGTGTTTAGAGAGCCGCAATCGGCGCGCTCCAGGATGAAATAATGCGCGCCGTCGTCTTCGTAAATATCAAGCAACTTCACAATGTGAGGGTGATCCAGACCCTTGTGGATAACCTGCTCACGGACCACGGACTGTTTTTCTTCGGGTGAGATCAAAATGTACTTCGGCACGATTTTCACTGCTACCTCCTCAAGGGAAGACTTGTCCTGACCCAAGCATACCTTGCCATAGGCTCCGGCAGCGAAGGACTCGCGGATGAGGTAACGTCCATGCATAGCCTTTTCACGCGGAGTGAGCAGCGCTGAGCTCTCCGATGCAGTGCGCATGCGCGAGTTTACCATGTTTTTCCGTGAGGATCCAGCCCTCATTATACGCATGCTACCTTCACTTTTTAAGGGCGGCACGAAGACGGCATCTTCGATGGTAGCATGGCCTGTGATGGAGTTGAACGAACTGTGTTCTGTACTAGCACTACTGCTACTCGTGGGAACATCGTCGTCCCCCGTCAAGTCGCTTGCGTTAATGCGCATGCTTTGGCTCTTTTTCGGGTAGGCCGCCGCCATCGACACGGAGCGGCGACGACGCGTTGCAGCCAGTCTCGCCTCTTCAAAGCTCAGCGCGCGCAGGTAGCGGTGGTCGCCAGCGTTCCGGTGTTGGAAATAGGATGGGTCAACGCCGCAACGAACACGATTACAGATGACGATGTCCTCCTCCAACACGCTGAATTTGCGCAGAAACAATAACTTCTTACCGTTGTGGCGCTTGGTGTGCTGGTTCTCGGCATTCACAGCAGTAACCCCCATCTGGGACGTCGGGTGCTCGGGTTTGCTGTGCGAGCGCTGGAAGGTGGAGCCACTGCCAAGACGCACCATGGCCATGTCATGCGCCGAGAGATCCAATGCAGACTTGGCGGGCGGCGCAGCACGCAGCAGACGGACGGAGTCGTGGCTCATGAGCGGTAGTTTTCACGGGCGTCTGACAAACTGACAAACTGTTGCTGAAGACTTCTGACCTCGGCTGCTATTCTGAGAATGGCGCTGGCCGTGAGTGAGTTTGTGGAGACGCAACGCTGTGACTTGGAGTTTGTATGATGCAGATTTGCAAGATACATCGCGTGTCAACACGCCACGTTGAAGGAGCAAAGGTTGACGAGATTGGAAAGCTCAAAAGCTGGGTTGGCACTGCGCGGAAATACTTATTATCAGGGAGAAGCAGGCTCGGATCACACGACACGCTGGCATTGTTATGTGGCACATAGCAATAGTCAGAATGAGGCGCAAGTTGCATCCATCTATTTTACTGTCAAAATGTCAGTAGAATCGTCTACCTCGACCACTACTACTACTCCTGCTGCTGGGCACTACACACTCATCGCTGGAAAGGAGTTCATAAGCTGCCTCGTCGGCCTCGTCGTCCAAGAGGAGCCCGGGCACATCAAGAGCCGTGGAAAACTGAAAGCGCGGCAGCACATAGAACACATGTAGCACGCCCCAATTTGGTACGAGGTAAGCCCCAACGGAGATCGCCAAGCGCATCGACTGCTCGAATAGTCCACCGTTTTCGTCAAAGAACATGCTGTCACACTCTCTCTTCTTGCCTGGAAAAGTCAGCACCAGTGAATTTCAGTTCTTCCAAGTCCAGTATCAAACCAACCGTACTTACCACCAACGCTAAAGGAGAGATACGTGTCTACCGCGAGCTGCAAGCTTGTGCTCACGAGGTTACACTGTTCACGCAAGTGCATAGCACGATTGTTAGCATCAAGTTACTCGGGATCTCAGCAGGGGTACATACGATCAGGAGAATCCATAGCTGATGGTGCGACTGCTCCAGTTCAGTTAGCTCGGACGAAACCTGAAACTTCTTGCGCTAGAGGAAGCACTACGTGAGGCAGATTAAAGAGGGGGAAAAAATCAGCGTCAGACATACCTGATTTCGAGCTGTGGAGTTGATCTCCTCGAGAACCACGCGACCTGGAATAGCGAAGCCAGCTGCTCATAGCAAAACACTGTCAATATTTCAGATTTCTATCTCATTTGCATCATCGCGCACCAGTGAGGACGACTCCTGTTGCGGACATGGCAATCCACGTGATGTGGTGACAGTCGATCTCTTCATAGGTTCCAATAACGAGCAGCGCATCTGCCGTCATGGCAATCGTGGCGAGTCCCACAATCGGGATCAGCATGCTGTAAAACTGTCGAACAGGAGCAGCAAAATGTACTCAGTATCGTCAATTTCTCGTAAGGCACCCCTTCACGTACCAGCTTCGTCCTGTTAACAAGCTCGCCAGCAGATTTCCCGTATAGCACGCAGGAAATGGCGATTTGCAAGCATCGGAAGTACTTGGCTAGCACGAGGATCTTGGGACTGTTGGTGATAAAGCACTCGTAGACGAGCAACGCCATCTGGACCCCCGCCAGCGCTAGCATACTGAGGTTGGTGAGATACCACTGCGAGCTCAGAAAAATGGGAAGGATACGCTGGAAGGCGTAAACCGTCGCGACCAGAGTGGCAAGGCAAAAGGTGCCGAAGGTCAGGCTTCGTGCGCACACTAACAGTGCATGCTCCGTGTCGAAGACCTCGTAGCAGTCCGGCAGCATGGAGGATGGAGAAGACCAGGCGAGGTCGCAGCTACGACAACATCAACAGTTTGTCAGGCCTTTCTATAACTTAATATGTTCACGAAACGCATTTCAATTCTCACCAAACTCTAATAACCCTTCAAAAAACATGCACGTGAGACCTACACATTAGGTATCGGACTAGACTTGATTGAATTTTGTTTGAGCATGAATGGTGTGCGCCTCATAAGTAAAACTTACGAATTAATCCTTATTTTTAGGGCTGTACGTATTAATACTTCGTAACCGAACCACTTCGACAAAAGCCACGATCTGTTCTATTTTCGAAAGGCGCGTCAGTTTCAAGCTAATACGATATGGGCATTGCCAGAAGCTCGCTGTTATAGTTTAATTCTATCCGCACTGGTGCAGCAACCATGCTTTCACCTGACTCAAAGGACTGCGATCTGCGCACTCCCGCGCTCGTGCACGATATCGCTGAAGAGGGGTCGGACATGACACGCGAGATCTACAGCGCTGCGTTGAAGGATTCCCAGGATGGAATGATTCGCACAAAGTCACTGCCGGACGTGAGTGAGGTGCTCTACAAAGATGTCGGTTCGTGATAAGGCCAAAGCGCAAAGGAGTTGGAGATGTTTGCAAGTGTGACCTGATGTATGGTGTGTATTGTGCTATGACAGGGAAGGCATCGGATATTGCCCAACCAGGAGGTTTCCGTCGCGACCACGTCATCGCGAATTTGCCTGCTGGAGATACTATTGTACCGACGCACATTCAGAACTCGTTTCTGACGTCTATCGGGCCAAATAACTTGCTTCAGTCTACCTATTGCGGCTTCGTTAACGAGACATTGCATCTCGGCGACGAGTACAGCCAAAATGTGCGTATCGTGCAACGTAATGATGCCATCTCAGTTTCTAAACGTGGACGTTGTTTCCATCTTGAACAAACAGGAAGAACTGATTCCGCTATTCAGCAGCCTCGACACGTTCCACACAGAGACGAACGAGATCTCGACTAGGGGAGCGACCGTCAAGCAGACAGTTTTTACCATTTTCAAGTCTTTTATCGGCAGTGGAATTCTGTTCCTGCCTAAAGGATTCCAGAATGGAGGAATGTTGTTTTCGATCGTGGGCCTGTGTGTGTCGGCAGTACTTTCGACCTTCTGCATGCTGCGCCTGGTCGAGTGCTCGACTGTGCTTCTTCACGCTCACAACCACCACAATGTCTCGTACGGCATCGTGGGAGAGATAGCTTTTGGTGCAATGGGTCGGCGCGCAGTGAACCTGTCGTTAGTGCTCTCGCAAATCGGTTTCTGCTGTTCGTATCTGATTTTCGTGGAGAAAAATATTGGCGAGGTATTATTGCACGCTTTTAACCTCCAGAGCTCACTTACGACGTCATCGTGGACGCTCATTCTGCTGCAGATTCCACTTTACACCCCACTAGCGTGGGTGCGTCGTCTCGAGTACTTTGCACTCACGAGCTTATTCGCGGATGTGCTCATTGTGTTTGGTCTAGTGTACATCCTCACTTACACTGTGAAGACTCTTGAAAGTGCAGCTCCCGGCGAATCAACGTGGGTCTACTTTAATTCCGAAAACTGGGCAATGTTTCTTGGTGTTGCTGTCTACTGCTTTGAAGGTATCGGATTAGTGCTGCCGACATACGACTCCATGGATGATCAGATCAAACACAAATTCCCTGCCATTTTGTCATGGTGTGTAGTGTGCATCCTTGCCATTTGCATTATGTTTGCTGGCACAGTATATGCAGCTTTTGGGCAGAGCACGCAATCCGTTGTAACGTTAAATCTGCCCAGCTCGAGCGAGAGTACAGGGACAATGGCTGTTCAGCTTACATATTCCCTGGCACTAGTACTTTCGTACCCATTGATGCTGTATCCGGTTATCAACATTCTCGAAAGCAAATTGTTCCCGTACCAACGTGTCAAGGGATTCTGGCGGTGGAAAAAGAATGGCTTCCGTTTTGCACTGGTCTGTCTTACCGCTGTCGTTGGGTATTTTGGAAAGGAGGAGGTAAGGCGTTATCGAAATTTTGCTTCTCGCAGCTTGTTAATGTATTTGTGTTCGATTACAGCTGGATAATTTTGTCTCTATCATTGGCGGATTCTGCTCCGTGCCGCTCGCGTTCATATATCCGTGCATATTTCACTCAAGGTGAGCTATGAGTTGTCCTGATACACTGATAAATCCTCTAACTCTGGTGGTTCTTAGACTTGTCGGACGTGGGCACATTTTGAACGGTGTCGTGGTCGTGATTGGCTTGTGCACGATGGTCTTCGCCACATTCCAAGCAGTTTCAACTTGGAACTAGTCGTTTTCTATGCAGAGTGAACTACTAAAAAGAATTACATAGTTGCATCCAAGAAATTTTAGTTTCTCAATCATAGATGGATCTTTCATTTGATGCTTGGCACCCCAGTTCTCCCAAATCTATGGATTGGTCATCTACGGATAATCGTGAATCAAACTGAAAAAAAACACGTTAGAACTATATTTTATTGGTCTAAAATCCGGTCATTTTGCCTACGCACTTCAACACTGTTCAACATTTCCATCTCTGAGACTGGCGTCTCAGGTGACGATAATGGTTGATTTTGAAGGTAGCAACCGAAGCCTCCACCCCTTAAACGAAAATCGCCATCGATTTGAGAAGTGGATCGCCGCTGAGTTACACGGACACTAGCGAAGGAACACCAGAGACGAAGGCGAGGGAGAGGGCGGGGACGCTCAAGGCTACCTCACGAAAGCTGAATGGATTGAGCGGGACGTTCTAAAAGCTGCGCTGGGTGCGCAATCGACCCCTTCGGAGCTTCCTGATGCACTTTTATTCCCGGACTCCACCGAGTATTGGCCGTGCATCCGTATGATGCTGGTGCCAACATTCGATGACCTTTTTAAGTGCATAATGCACCTTCAATATCAGATTTTCTAATGGTTTTAAAACGCTTAATCACGAAATAAAATACGTTTTTTTCACGTTAGTTTTTTATACTCTTCGAAACGTACCAAACTATATTCGAAGTCTCGATTTACTCATATAATATATAATTCTCTATTTTCCATCAACATCTCGACACATCATTAATTGAAATTAATACATATATTATATGCTCTAATTTCAATTAATGATGTTGAAAAAAAATGGAAAATGGAGAATTTTAAGAAGAAGCTCTGAAATTAAGCAACCAAGTACCAAACTGTAAGTATGTGTAGAAGGCCGGGAGCTTCTTGGCAAAGGATCTGATGCGGCAGCTTTGCAGTATCTGCAAAACAAGAGTTTTCAGATGATTGATAGTCGCCAGGGTGTTTTCTTTGTCAAATTACGAAATGTTGCTTATATCAATGATTCGGTTCGACAAAATATCGTTTCAGGCGGGTATGAATTCATGTGATTTTTTGGCAACATTCCGTACTACAACATACTTACTTAACCAAGAGGACGACGACACAGGAAACATTGGCATATGACCAGACGCCAATTGAGGCCGGATTGCCAATTAGGGACCGATTCATTTGGCCAATGAAAGACTCTAGTCTTGCATTCATTAGTTGTGCTTGGTCAGTTATCGGGTACCATTTAAGAGACAAGGCTAAATCCCATCATGAAATCAAGTTACTTTGAAGCGGCCCCTAATTGGAAGGACCATCATTCTTGGTATGCTTTTCTAATCGGATCTATTGTGTTTCAAAGAAATTTCAGAACAGCCAAAAAAAAAAAGAATCGACAAAATCGGCAGCATTTGATTGGTACTCTTGGTATCGTTATGTTTGTTTTAGAACACAATATACGAGTCAAACTAGAAAAGCCTGTCTGGACCGGCCCCGAATTGGCATTTTCCCTTAGTTTACTAACATAGCACACGTATCGATGCCCATGACCATCACTGCACAGTGTCGACGGTCAGGTCGTGACATCGGTCACTCTGACACTGGCCAGAAGTCTGTGCGCGCTCGAAAATCTCTGCATTTTGAAACCCGTACATGCTTTAAAGTCTTCCTAGTACTGTATTTTCTTGCCTTTGTCCTCTAGAACGGCGCTGACGCAGTCTGGCATCGAATCAATCAGTTTCCGCAGTCCTTCCAGCTTAATACGGCCCCATGCACGGCGAATAGCAATCTTGAGCTCTTCAACCGACGTGTACTGCTTTCCACCGCAATAAACGTCACGAACAAGCATGCCCCAAACGTTTTCAATAGGATTCAAATCAGGAGAAAGTGCTGGCGAGTCTAAAACAGACACATTAAGCTCCTTCAAGAACGACTTCGTACTCTTTGACGAGTGTAAGCTGGCGTTGTCGTGCTGGAAGATGTAGCTTCCTTCATGCATGTCCTCACCAAAGGGCAGCAAGTAGCTAGTAAGCGTATCCTGGTAGTCTAAGGAGTTTTGACGCCCAGATAGAAGCGCTATATCGGTCGTACCCTTCGACGAGAATCCACCCCAAATCATAACCGACCCACCACCATTCTGTTGACTAAAGAAGGTGTCTTTCTCGGTCCGTAGGTCGTGCCAATAGTATTGCATGCCGTCAGGACCGTCAAGATTAAACTTCTTCTCGTCTGAGGAGATAACGTCGTCCCAATCGGTACGTGCACGGGTCATGGCCTTTGCTCACTTTCGTCGAGCTAACTTATGACTTGCCTTCAGCATAGGAGTACGTGTGCGCTTCACGAAGCTCATGAAAGGAGCGTTTTGAAGTACACGTCGCACAGTACGTGCCGATACATTCAATCCTAGAGCAGCTTTCACTCCACTCGACGATTCTCCACCCTTTTTTGCCTCCAAAATTATCTGTCGTTGTATACACCTTGCTCGGTCTCCCAGTCCGCTTAGCCTTCCCATGGCGCTCCCTGTTCTTCCAGAACTTGTCCACACCCGTTGCCGACCGTCCCAGATGCTTGCCTCCATCCAGCCTCTCGAAGGCCAAGGATTGTCCCTTTCGACGTCAGTAACTCGGTGCCTTTGAGCATGTTTTACTGGTCTCGTAGCAAATTTTAAACTGCCAAACGCATTGCCAGCGACAGCTGAGACGCTGGGGTGTATTTTAAAGGTTTTGCAAGCTTCTAGAACGCAGTAGAACAAGAGTATTGGCAGGAAATCAGACTTCTGGCCAGTGTCAGAGTGATGGTCACTCCTGTATCTCTACAACCACGGACCGCCTCGCCAAAAGAATTGTATGCTCCGATAGCTCTTTGTTTAAATAGCATTTCTACGCAGTTTTGGCTTTATTTGCTTCAAATTGACCTAATTATTTGCAAAATAGTGGTCCGCACAAATTTATGGCCAGCACCGTATGTGGGAGCTCACATGTTTAAGCCATCGCAATTGAGTGTGAAACATGTTTTGACATTATGGGACTGGGATTGCGAGAGAGCGGTCGTGAGGGAGCGCACTCACAGCCAGCCACTCTATCCAATTTTTGCTGATGGCAGCGGTCGCGTCTCGCGCTATAGAAAACAACGCCGCGCTACAAACTGTCCAGCAAGTGGTGGCAGACAGCCTCAATCGCTGCGCGCGTAACACTGATCCTGTAATGGCTCACTGAGTGCCCACTACTTCGGCTTACACGTTAGCGCACGTGTA